GCTGGAAAGCAGAGCGAAAGGGGAGTGTATGGCGGAAAAGCACAACGGATGGAGAAGCAGAGAGGGGGATAGAGTAGGATAGGACGGAGAAGCTCAGCCGCCGGAACACAGAGCGAGAAGATCGAGAAGATCGAGAAGATCGAGAGGGGCGAGAGGGGAGAGAGGTGGTGGGACGGCAGCAAAAGAAAGGTATGACATGCAGAGCGTCACTCCACAGTCGGACGGCGCCGCCATGACACAGTCCGATGGCGCCAATGATGGATGGCACGATCGGATGGATGGCGCCATGACAACACAGCACACAGTCGCGGCCATGACACCACAACAATGCACACGTGGCGTACGTGGCGGCCCGTCGCCGCACCACTGTCTAAAATGTGTGCAAAACGAGAATGAACTTTCCCTTATATATAAAAAAAAAAAAAAAGAATGAACTTTCCCGCTAGAATTCATGGCCAGATGCACCCGCCACAATTTTGTCTGTTTCACATTTCTCGAGTGGTGTGGCGAGGCCCACAATCGAATGGCCCCGCCATGACACAATCCGATGGAATAATAATAATAATAATAATAATAATAATAATAATAATAATAATAATATGAAGATGAAGAAGAAGAAGAGTGAAAACAGAGGCCATAGACTGTTCCTGGCGCAAGCTTCAACCGAATAGTAATCATGACATCTCCGCATGCACTGTTCTTGGTAGAAACGCGCACGTTTCCCGAGGCCTGTCGGACAGCTTGCGCTCCTCGCACTCCTCAGGAGTGGGGGGGGGGGGGGTTCTCCCAAGATCGCCTTGCGGGACCACCATCCTATCCGACCGACTGACAATAGAGGGCCTCTGGCCTTGCCCTCTGCTTACAGTTGTCATCTACCTACTGACTAAGTGAAGAAGAAGAAGAAGAAGAAGAATTGCATTCTCACTCCAGATAACAATCTGTCCCTCCGCACCGATCCAAGGAACACGCGACCTCCACGTTAAGAGGTAAACACTCAACCAAACGGCTAAGTGGACTGGGATGAAAGTTAAGCCCCAAGATGAGTACTTAACCCCAAGAAGAAGAAGAAGAATGTGGAAGAGAGGCGGTAGAAATGACAGTGCGATTTGGTGTGTGCTGGCTATGTCATCGCAGAGCCGATAGGACAATCGCGAGCAAAGTGAGAATGAGGCTAGACAAGAAGAGGAGGGGGGGGGGAACAGGTTGGGAACAGGAGCTGTAAACCACTACAAGGAAGAGGAGGGAGAACGATGAGGAGGAGGAGGGCAACGAGGCAGTAGCAAACCATTAATACAGTAGTATGTGGTGGGTCATCAACAGGTCAACATCTTGACGACTCGCCCTATCTAAGGTTTTTTGTTCTTTTTCAGCTTCGCGAAGCAGAAGGGGGGGAAGGGGGAGGAGGAGGAGGAGGAGGAGGAGGAGGAGGAGTGAGTAGGATGTGAAGGAGGAGGATTCATTGCCAATTTGCCATGACCAGAACAAATGAAATAGGAAAGATGAGCATAAAAAAAAAAAAAGAAAAGAAGTAAGCGCCATTGCCATTTTTTCGCTCCGCCACGTCACCAGTTAAAAAAAGAGACAAGGTAAAGAGGAGGACGATGGCGAAGACCAGATGCAGGAGAGGAGAGGACAAGGGGGGAAGAAAACAATTTAGCGAGATATGAAGGAGCGGACAAGGGGGAAAGAAAACAATTTAGCGAGATATGGAGGAGAGGAGAAAGGGGGAAGAAAACAATCTACCAAGAAATGGTTCTGCCAAAGGCGACGGCAGCACCGTGTGTCCTAGATTAGGGATTAACGGCCAGTACGACTCAACCTGGATGATGAGCAGAGAAAAAAAAGAAAAAAGAAGGAAAAAAAGGGATGGAGTCGGAGAGGAGGAGGAGGAGGGGGAGGAGGGGGAGGGAGGGAGGGAGGGAGGAGGAGGAGGAGGAGGAGGAGGAGGAGGGGGGAGGAGGAGGAGGAGGAGAAGGGGGTAGGTGAACTTCTGTTTGATTGTTTTGCCCGTGTGCCAAGTTGGTTGCTGCTGTCTGTCTGTGTGCATGTCTTTTCTCAGTTGCTGCCAGCTCAGCTCCCTCGGCTTTTTATTTTTTATTATTTCATTATTATTATTATTATTATTATTATTATTATTATGTTTTGGTCTTCGTCGAACATCATTTTGCTGATTTTCGGAATTTCCATAACGCGAAGCTACCGTCTTCACCCGAATAGAACGCCCGGTTATTGCTGGTGTATCTAGACAGACAGTTGCCCCAAATACAGCTACAATGACCGTGCGTTGTTTCATCGTGGTGAAGCCGGTAGCTCAGCTCCCTGTCTCGCCCATTGTACACGTATGACGAGCTGGCAGCAACTGGGATGATGACGTGGCAACCAACTGAGATGATGACGTGGCAATAACACTCATGCTGATGAGCAGGCAGCAACTGAGATGATGACGTGGCAATAACACTCATGCTGATGAGCAGGCAGCAACGGAGATGATGACGTGGCAGCAACGGTCATGCTGATGAGCTGGCAGCAACTGAGATGATGACGTGGCAACAACAGTCCTGCTGATGAGCTGGCAGCGACTGAGATGATGACGTGGCTGAGGGTGTCTGTCGTGGCTTTGGTGACAACCCCAAGGACAGTCATTCGTAACCCCTGTTTCTAGACCTAGACCCCTAATCTTATCGCAAGTGGAGCCCTACAGCGGTGCGACCCAGACCCCTCTATCTAGACCCAGACCTCTCTATCTAGACCCAGACCCCTCTATCTAGACCCAGACCCCTCTATCTAGACCTAGACCTACACCAACTCGCACCTTCCGAGGGGTCGTAGATAGTAGTGAAACGGTATTCACCAATTCGTGGTAGCTGAGGTAGATCCCAGGGCTCGATCCCTAGTTTCCCAACTTACCTGTGTACAATACCAGCGTC